ACTCACAGAGATCCACCTGCCTCTGCCTCCTGAGTGCTGGGATTAAAGGTGTGCACTACCACACCCGGATGTTTTTTTGTTTTTGAGCATCGTTATGTAGCTTTGGCTTGTCTAGAAGTCACTATGTAGACGAGGTTGTCCTGGAACTCATAGATAACTAACTACTCGTCTCTGCCTTCCAAATGCTGTAATTAAAGGTGTGCACTATCATACCCAGTTCAAACAACTTGTCTGTAATTAGATGTGTGTGTGTGTGCGTGTGTGTGTGTGTGTGTGTGTGTGTGTGTGTGTGTGTGTGGTTGGCTTGCCTGCATTTATGTATGTGTACTACACACATGCAGTGCCTGTGGAGGTCAGAAGAGGGCAATGGAGCCCCTGGAATTTGAGTTACAGACAGGTGTGAGTTGTCATGTGGATGCTGGGAATTGAACTTGGGTTCTCTGGTAGAGTAACCAGTATTCCTACCCCTTAGTCATCTGCCCAGTCCCTGATTTCTCTTTAGTTCTACTTTTCCTTACATATATGATCTTTCTGGGCTTCTCCCCAGTTTCCTCTACTGGATACCCCACTATCTATTATACCATGTACCTACATTCTTACGGGCATTCCTGTGGGGAACATGGTTTCTGTTTCGTTTGTTTGATTTTTAATCTGTTGATTTGCTCCTTCAAAGTCTTTATAACCTAAATTACTGTCATTATAATGTTTTCCGAACTGAAGGCACCAATCCTTAAGTGATCCATAATCTGAGAGATTCATGGTTCTCTTACTAATTGTCCACAAGACAGTGTATTTGCATGCTTTCTAGACGTTCTTGATATTATTAGCTGGCTGTCATTTGGCTATGTTGTTATGTCTGTGCCACGAGCCCCCAGCACCTCTAGGAGTCTTGGGAGGACCTTTCTCTGCAAACTCTGTTTTAAAGAAGGGGCTTCTTCTTAAACCTTATACCGAGCAGGGCCAATCTCAGCTCCAGAAATGTGCTTGGATAGCAGAATTTGAATGGATACCCTGAGGAAAAACAAAACAAAACAAGGAGCTAAAGAGCAGGACCATAAAATTTAACGAGGTCCTTACCCTTTAAGATGTTCCTGGGAGGCATGCTGTCCTTGAAGACACCTTGTTAGTTATTAATGGCTCTTGGTTAGATTTTTGTGCCTAAAAACTGACCAATGGTTTCAGAAACTACCTTACCCTATGCCCTCCTCACCCAATCCCAAGACGACTGAACTCCCCTGATTATGGCATTTCCTCTTTAAAAGTTCTATCCTCCCAGGGCTCCCTGCCACACTCTCTGTACCTACCATGCTGGGGAGCTGGAAAGGTGCTGGTTCAAACATGAGTTTGTGTATTAAAAATTCTCATGTAATTTGCATCTGAAACCCAGCTCGATGAATTCATTTGGGGACCAGAGACTTCAGTGTAACAGTCTGAGTTCGTATGCAAAAGAAAACAGCCTTTATTGCAAGCTCGAACTTGGGCTCTCAGTTCTCTCCGACACAGCGGTGGGATCAGGGAGAGCACTGAGCTCAGCTGTGGCTTTGAAGGAGTAAAGGCAGATGGGGGGTGGAGGTAGGGGAATTCCAGATTCAGAGGGCTGTTGAGCTCCCGGTCAGGCAGGAGTAAGGTAACAGATGTCTTGTCAGACAGGGATTGGTACTGGTGTTGCTGACAGGATATTGGCAATCTATATACAAGTTAGGTAAGCTATTCTTAATGTTCCGGAGCACCTGGTTTGTCTCAATTCTGATTGGTCTCCTGCAGGGTACAGTCCACGGTTTTTCCTGGTTATTGTAAGGGTGAGGCCTAGTCCCAGTATTGATAGTCTGTCATGGCCATCATGCTGTACTAATGTTAAATTAGGCCCTTTACCATCAGATTAAAGAATGTTAAACTGTGGATATTCATGAATACCTGTGTTGACATTATATGGTTTGGTCTACTTGGAAGTAGAATCATTTGTCATATTTTTATGTAGTTTTTTCTTTCCTTTCTTTTCTTTTTTAAGACAAGGCCTTGGTATGCAACCTAGCCTAGCCTTATAATTATTGTGTAGCACAAGCCAGTCTGACACTTGAACTTGACCTCTTGCCCATTCTCCTGAGTACTAGGAATACCAATACCTACTTCCTCTTGGTTTTTTACTTTAAAATTTTTAAGTTTCTATGGCAGATGGTGTGTGGTTTGTGAGAGAGAGGAAGAGGGAGAGAGAGTAAGGGGAAAAGGAAGTGGGAGAGAGATGAGAGAAGTCTGCAAGTTATCCGTCCGTCCGTCCGTCCATCTGTCAGCTCAGGCTGTGCCTGTGGATCTTGGCCTAGTTCTCCCAGGTGCCAAGACTGTGCAGTCCAATGTCAGGGCCTCCTCAAAGCACATATCTGGTGATAGCCCGCTTCTCCTACTTTCCAATATCATGGAGGTGGTTTGTACTTTGAAATGTGAATTTGGGGTAATGAATTCAGTTCATCACAGGTGTTGTCTTCTTGAGAACTATTAAGTACTTCAAAGAAAACTTTTTGTGATAAATATCACTTATTCGCATTTTCTATATTCAGTTCAAACCAATAAATTATTATTCTTTATAATTTATAATATACTTAATATGCTAATATAGGAAATTTCAATCTTTAAAAACTGGTGTCTAAAATACATTAACATTAAAAAAATCCTGCTTCTAAAAAACAAACCACAGAGGCATCGTGGACCTGTTGACAGGAACGTTTAATCTCAACCTAAGTAAAGCTTCACTAGTATGCTCAGTGCTGGAGAGACGGCTCAGTGGCTAAGAGCTCCTGCTGCTGCTCTTCCAGAGGACCTGGGTTCAATTCCCAGCACCTATAAATAGCTCATAACTATCTGTAACCACAGTTCCAGGGTATCTGATGTCCTGTCTGGCCTCCCGAGGCACCAGACATGTGTGTATAGATGTACACATATGTGAAACAGCCATACATATCAAATTATAATAAATTATTCTTTAGGAGAGAGGGTCAGAGTGGAAGAGCAATGAATGAGAGATCTTGATAGAGAGAGCCACTGTGGGATTAATTTCCTGGTGCTCAGGAAATTCCCCAGAATCCACAAGGATGACTCCAGCCAAAACCTCAGCAATAGTGGAGAGGGGGCCCAAACTGACCTCCATCCCAACTGTCATCATAGAGCCTTCATCCAGTAACTGATGGAACCGGATGGATCCACAACCAAGCACCAGGCCGAGTTCTGGGAATCCAGGGGACGGCAGGGAGGAGGGATTGTTGAGCAAGGGAGATCAGGATCACGATAGAGAAATCTACAGAGAAAGCTGAACTGAGCTTGTGGAAAGTTGTGAACTCTAGACCAACAGCTGTGGAGCCTCCATATGTGGGAGACAGTGGGGAAGCTTGGACTGTCTGTGAGGCACCTGGCAGTGGGACCAGGATCTGTCCCCGGTGCATGACCTAACTTATTGGAGTGCGTTCCCTATGGTGGGAGTCATTCTCGGCCTTGGTGCAGAGGGGAGGGACTTGTTCTGCCCCAGTTTGGTCTGTCTGACTTTGCTGACTTCCCAGGGGTGAATGGGGGTATGAGAGAGGTGTGGGGCAGGAGGATGGTTGGGAGGGAGAAATGTGGATGGAATGTAAGATGAAATTAAAAAATAAATTAAGATGAAAAAACTTAAAAATAAATTAAAATATGCTTGTTTGTGTGTCCTTCTTTGACTTTTCTGATTTTCGAGACAAGGTTTCACATAGCCTAGGCTAGCCCCAAACTGGCTAGGTAGGATGACCTTAAAGTTCTAATCCTCCTGCCGTCACCTGCCAAGTGCTAGGATTACAAGAGTGCCTCTATGCCTCCCCTCTTCCTTTTTCTTGCTCTCCCTCCTCCCATCTCTCCTTCCTCTGCATGGCAAGGTCTTATGTAGTCATGGCTTTAAACTGTCTATGAAGATGAGCATGGCCTTGAAATTTTCATCTTCCCATCTCTACTTCCCTATCCAAAGAGCAAACAGGTTTGCTTAACCACACCTGTTCAATGCCTATGTATGTTAAGCCAACAAGCTGTCAAGTAAGCCGTATGTCTATCACATTTTATAATTCCTTGAAAAATTCAGGTCCAGAAAGAAATGGTCAGATATTCACTTATGCAGTGGATACATGCATATTCTCAGAAGAGGGAGTTAAGTCTTCAACACAAAGCTGAACAAATTATGCCTTAAAGTCCAATGTCTGCCCCTTCCTGCCCCATCCACAACTCCCATTGCTAGGTTATTTGTGGGCAAACACAAAGATGGCGTCATTTCACCTGTACTTTGGGTTGTACCTCTGAGTGATAGTGACTTTTTATGTAGCCATATCTGTCACTCACACACCTAAAAAAAAATCACACAATCACATCCCACATAAAACTTCTCACAAGGAGTTTAAGCTTTTCAACTCATGTGGGGTGGTGGTGGCACATGCCTCAAGGCCAGCCTGGTCTACAAGAGATAGTTCTAGGGCAGGATCCAAAGCTACAGAGAAACCCGGTCTCGAAAAAAAGGGGGATAAAAAGCTTTTCAGCTCAAAGTAGCAAGGCAGCCGTACCGACGTGTATTTCCTAGTCCCTAGTTTGACGTTACTAACAGTGTGGCTTGCGTATGTTTCTGCCACATTCCCTTTGGGACCCCACAGCTGAGCCTGTGTCCTTGCTACTTTGCCAGCATCTGAGTTTCTGGAAAGCTGTGTGAAGGTGCTTGGCCCCAGCGCGGCCTGAAACACTTGCTGACTCTCACGCTGTCCTTTGTTGTGGAGCTTCCATCCTGGGCCTATTTTAGGAGACAAAACAGTGACTGTACATGCCAAGGACGACAATCCTTTTTATTATTATTTTAAAGCTAAACTTTATTTGCTTTGTTTTGCTTGGGTTTTGTTTTTGAGATGCCTGGTGACCTGTCACTGTGGGAACATCACTGAAAACGTTTGCATTGTGCTGACTTTCCCATTTCTCAGTGATGAATAATTGACTGAGCTGTGTTGTTGCATAGATTGGTGAGGATGAGACTGTGGACCTCAGCCAGTAGGAATGGTGGCATCTGGACCCTGCCAGAGACTTCTGGACCCGTGTGTGAGCACAGCTGGCTTGGAGATCTAAGGTAGGCTTTGCTAAGGATTTCTTTCCTTCTCTTTGCAGAATGTGGTGGAGTTATCAGAAGTGTGTTGTTTTCACCCCTGTACCTTGTCTTGGAGATTCATTTCTTTGGGGCACCTCCAAGTATTGGGTTCAATTAAAAATGTTGATTTAAAACAAAAGCCTATAGGAATTTCACTTAATCACCACTAAAACCCAAGAATCTCCATACAGACTCAATATTCACTATATTTACAGGATAGCTCTTCCCAAGCTCTGAGTTCATCCTCAGGAAGGAGAAAGAAAATGAGATGTGGGTGTGTGTGTGTGGGTGTGTGTGTGGCCGAAATCACATATTAGAGGTGTCAAGGTTGGTGACTACTCACCAATCTGAAATGGGTTTCATTCTGTTCCTTCACTTACCCAATCCCCACTAGTGAGCATCCAGGCTACTGCCCTGTCTTAAATAGGATTTATAGTGCTGTAATTGTGTGTAAACAGCAGAACCAGAGTAAATTCAGAGAAGAGAGGGTTTTCTTTCATTGCTTCAGCTTGTAGTCCATCATCTAGGGAAGCCAGGGCAGAAATCTAGGACAGGTGCCTGGAGGTGAGAGCTGAGGCAGAAGCTGAGGAGGAGGGTGGTTTACTGGCTCGCTCTCCATGATCTGCTTAGCTTCTCCTACAACCACAACCCAGGACCACCTGCTGCCCAGGGGTTGCACACTCACAGCAGGCTGGACCCTTCCATGGCGCTCATCCATCAAGAAAACGCTCTGCAAACGTGCCTACAGGCCAGTCTTACGGAGGCATTTCTCAGCCGAAGTTCTCTCTTCTCAGATGACCCTAACTTGTGTCAACTGGTGTAAAACTAGCCACACCCCTCCCAACTTTATAAGCAATGATACAGTACACTTTGTTGTAACTGTGGAATACAGGGTAAGACTTCTTCAAAGCTGAGTCCTGGGTAGTGAGCTAACCTGATTGTCTTCATGAGATGGAAGTGGAATTGCAGTCTTTACCAGTATACACTTCCACAAGCAAACAAACAGGACTTTATATTCACATGTCTTGTCATCGTTAGACATGTTTGACAAACTCCTGCTTCTGGACCGTCTGACAGCTACACAGATAGAGCACCTCATCTCCTCTCTTCGCTGAGTCAATTCACATCCACAATGCTTTTTGTATTTCATTTTATGCCAAGTAGTTCCTGCTTTTCCTTCTGTTTGTCCTCTAAATTTATTGTTTTTTCTTTACTATACTAGAGCATTAAAAATAACTGTTTTACATTTAATTAATTTGTTTGTTGATTTGTAGTGGGGATGGAGTGGGATGCGCCAATCGTTGTGTGCGTATGAGGTCAGTGCTTTCCCTCCACCATGCGTGCTGAGGCTCGGCTGATTGGCCCACCTGTACCAGATCTTCTTTTATCTTTTCTTCCTGATTGCGACATATCTAGTTGGGTCTTTTCTGTGTTTCTCTTACAGGAATTATCAGAAAGGGATCATCTGTTGGGATACCCAGTTCTGTGATTTTGTCGCAGGCACCTCTGTCTCAGTGCCAAAGGCTGCATCTGGTTCTCTGTTTAGCACTTGGGAAGCCAGTGCAATGACGGCTTTTTTCCTGCATTTGGGAAGATCAGAAGCTAAAATTATAAAATCTGATATATTTCCCCAGATTCTTCTGCTTTTCTGGGCAATCTTTCTTGGTTCTTGGCCTTAAGGTATTAAATTTGAGTTTGTGACCCTTTTTTCTTTATTTTGTTATACCTCACATTGTTGTTATACTTATTTTATTTTCAATACATTTTGATACAAACCTAGTCATTCTGCTCAGCTGAAATGAAGATGCAAATTGTCATCACACTTCTCCCTCACAATTTGCACAACAACATTTTTTCTCTGCTCAGCTTCTCTGAGAGTTGGCTCTGAGTGCAGGTGGACAGCAGGCATGCAGCTGGGAATGTCATATGACCATCCAGGCAGCACTGAACCCTCTTCCCCGAGCTGTGGGTGTTTACCACGCCTCAAATACTGTGTGTGTAATTGTTTAAAAACTCAAGAAAAACTAATTAGCTAAGTGGAGGTTTAACCCCCCTTGCAGATGGGGGAAAGGAACTAGAGATCAAGCTGCACATAACAGAACCCTAGCCCTTAGCATAATAACTCCGTGATGGAAGTGCCATTCAGGCCAGTCAACACACAGATAGCACCAACTGCCAAAATAAAACAAAGTCCATAGCTCTGGGAAAGTCTCTAGAGGCACTAACCATGTTTTTTGGCTTCTGTAGTTCCACTTCTAGCTAATTGTTCTTGTTAATTGAAGTATGTCAATCTAAGGACATGGTTTTTGTGTTTAAAAGGTTCATCCTGACAAAGGTTTAGGGCTTCACAGGGATCCTGAACACCCAGTATAGCTGCTGACCAGCTAATGAAGACTTTCTATTGACTTAAACCCAAGTCTGAGTAGTTTTCTCTGGTGGATACTCCACAGCATTTCTGGAGGTCCCACAAGGTCCCCAGAAACTAGACCTTGAGATACTGGGGTCTTAGGGCCCCTCGGGGTGAAAAATGCAGTGATCATGACTCCTGGGGGGGGTGCCACCTGAGATGCTCTAGGTCCCCAGAACCTTCTTTGATCAGTCACTGCTTCAGAGAAGTCTGAAACCTCTATCCCGAAAAGAAAAAATAAAAAAGGAAAGTTAACAGGAGCCTTAAAAGTTCGAGTCTTTAAGTCTTCCATTCACAGTTTAATTAAAGGTCCCAGTATAAGTTGGGGGGGGGAGCAAAAAATCTGCTGACAACAGGTTCCACTTCTTCATAATTCTTTATTCGTTCCTCTTCAATCCGTCGTTTCTCACTGTTCCTTCTTGTTCTACCTTGTTCCTTGTTCTGCACTGTTTGCCTTGTCCTACAAATGTTCTCAGTCACATCTACCCTTAAAACCAGCCATTCCCCACCCCTAGCAGGTTTCAGGGCAGAAATTCTCTTGCCCCATAGAAAATCAGATAAGAGTTTTCCCACACACAGATCCTTGGGAGTAGCTAGTACACTGTTGATGAGCTCCTTCATGGAGAGAGTTAGTTAAGGAAGGAACTAAGCCATCAGGGGATTCTTGAGGGGAAGGTTAGCGCACTACACTATATTTTTAGGTGGTAAAAAAAGCTAAAAGATTTATTTACAGTAAAATTATGAATAGGAACGAAGTTGTTTAAATCAGCACATTGCTTCTTTTCTCCCAGTATGCATAGAATCAGGTAAGTAGGCAACCTATGTAAACAGTCAGGGGGAAGCCGACTCTTGATCAGACAGCACTTACTCCACACCAGATGCTGCAGTTTCTAAGGCCTGGGTCTAGAGTTAGACTCACTGCTCTAAGTGAAGAAGAGAGCCAGGCCTCTGAATTGTCAGCTCTGGGGTGTGCTGTTATCAGCTGTTCTGATGGTGAGTGTTGTGGGTCTTTCTTTGGGTTTCAGTTAATTATTCCTTCTGCTGTCCTTGAGAGTGAACTAAGGTCATCAGGGTATGGAGATGAAAGTGGGTGTAAGGGGTTAAGAATCTTCTGAGTGAAGTAAAACCAGAACAGCAGCTTGGGCAGGTGATGCTCTCTGCCTGCACCCTAAGCACTGACCAAATACCTGCTGATAACAATATTTGCAGGAAGGCAGATCTCTGCACTTACCTAGGAGAGAGAAACAAGGCCTGACAGTGCGAAACTGTTCTGAACTAGGAAATTAATTTCCAAAATATGTAACAGAAAGGGAAGTCAGCTACAGTGAAAAATCTACAGCAAAGGACAGCCACTTTATTCACAAAGCAATAACACCAGAAAAGCCTTGGGTTTTTGGTTCAGCCTTTACCAGATCCCTTGGTTCTGATAAGCCACTTGTGAAAAGACGGTTGAGCAATTACTGTATATTGTTGCGGCTTGTAGTAGACAGTAGCCTGTTCTGTAGCCTCTGGTTAAAGTGCCTTCTGTTTAGACTCAGGTAAGATCAGATAGGGCTGCTGAGTCAGTGTCTGGGCTTTGTGAGACATCACTGGATTCCCATTTGTCAGGCACACAAATATGTGGTGGCCAACTCTGTTTGTCTTTACTCACCCGTGTGTGTGTGTGTGTGTGTGTGTGTGTGTGTGTGTGTGTGTGTGTGTAAGAGAGAGAAAGAGCGAGAGAGAAAGAGAGAGAGAGAGAGAGAGAGAGAGAGAGAGAGAGAGAGAGAATGTGTACGTATATGCATGTGTGTTTCTGTCAGTTCTGTTATCCTGTGTTGATCAGTGGCTTTCTCTGGTCTGAGACACACCCTGACTTAAGAACTATGCCTCTTATTGGGGACTCAAATCCTTTTGGTTCTGATAGGCCACCCAGAGAAACAAACACAAACAAACATAAAACTTTGCCTCTTCCACTCCTGGAGTGCTTGCTTGTTTTGATTTTGACTCTCTCTTGTTTTGTCAAATAATTCCTGCTCATGGTCCAGTCCAGGTGGATCCCTGTGTGGAGACCGGGAGAGGCTGTGCCTCTCACCCAGGGTCCTTGCCATCCAAGTGCAGTGCATATGGGGAGGGGGAGGGGAAAATAGTTCCTCCAGCTGCACCTTCCTCCAGCCCCCGACCTGCTCTAGGCCGCTCCAGGGAAAGGGAAAAGAGGACACTCCACTCCTCCCTCAATGATTGATATCGCCTTCCCAACTAGTAATCAGTATAACTGGAAGCCCAAACCCCACCATTTTCTGAAAAAAGTAGAAAAACTACCCCTGGGAAATCAATCACCGCCAGACAATGCTACTTGGACAGAGTGGATTTTTCCTTCTGTCAAACACTAGTCAGGGACACTTTAAACACCTTTTGCTAGGTACTTTTAAAAAGGGTTAAAGACAGCTGCTAAAAAAGTTTCCTTTGTCATCTAGTCAACCCCTGATATTAAAAAGGGGTTATAAAAGTTAGAAAAATGTACAGATATAAATAGATTCCAGTTGCTGGAGGTGACTCAAGGGTGTTTAACAGAGAACGGATTGGAATGAGACCATTAGCATAAGCCAAAGGCCACCACCACCTTCTCGGCGATGAGACACAGATTTACAGAAACACAGCAAAATATTGGCATCTTGCCCTTGGTCAGAAGAAAATTTACTAGATGAAAGTCCTGCCTCCATTCAGAGGACACAGTTTGATTATCTCTCAGATTAACAACAAAGATCCCAGGAGTATGGGCAGAAACAACCACTCAGGACTGGCCCAATACCAAGTTCTTATAATTGTTAAACTAACCACTTCAGCTACCTCCCTCCAAATTAAACAGTATCCAATAACCTTGGAAGCAAAAAGGAAAATTGCAGTCCATATTTCCGGGATTGAAGAGACATGCATCCTGGTGTCCTGCCAGTCATCCTGGAATACACCTCTCCTTCTTGTGAAGAAACCTGGAACCTCTGATTCTCATGAGCCTGATTCTTCCAGAGAAACAGGTATACACTGTCTTGTACCTGAAAAATACATTCTTTAGCCTCCCATTGGTAAGGTGGGTCAACCAATTATGCTTTCAAAAAGAAGAGCCTGATATGGATTAATAAAAATGCTGCAAGATTCCTGGTAGTGGCAGGCAGCATAAATGCTACAGGTCCCCAAGCAGTGGCAGCGGGCCAGGTGGTGACATGCAGCAGGCCCTGAGAGCAGCCAGTCCCAGGCAGGGACAGCTGCAAGCCCCCAAGTGGTGGCTGGTTCAGGGCAGGGAGACACTCAGCGACAGGCAAGAGATAGAGACATGGATAGGCACACCATGCAAAGTGAGGTTGGATATTTATTAAGTGAGTTATGGAAGGGAAGAGAGAAGAGGAAAAGAGCAGAGAGAAAAAGAGAGAGAGGGAGAAGGAGAGAGAGAGAAAGAGGAAGGAAGGGAGGGAGAGAGAAGGGGGAAGGGGAGAAGTGGGGGAGAGGAAGAAGCTGCCTCTTTGAGAAGGAGATGGAAAAGAGAGAGCTCTGGCTGGAAGCTGAAGATCAGCCTGCCTCAGTGGACAGGGGAAGGAGTGGGCGTGGCTTGTCTCTTAAAGAGACAGAACAGATCATTACAGAGCCCACAGGGAGGTTACAGTGGGCAACATACCTGGATCAGGTTGCCCCAAGGATTTAAAACTTCTCCAACCCTGTTTGATGTGACACCAAACATTGACCTCCTGCCCTTCATTAAAGGATTCCCAGGATACACACACACACACACACACACACACACACACACACACACATCTGTATCCTCTCCTTAGTCTCTAAAATTAAAATAAGTTACAAAAAATTTCTACTGCACGAGTTGCAGACCTTAGGCTACAGAATGTTGACTAAACGTCCAACTTGGTACATCAGAGCTTGCTGGTCTCGGCTACCAGCTGAGGGGAAGCAAAAGGACCCTGTCTCAGGGTAGGATTGCTGCCATCTTTCAGATACCTGCTCCAAAGACTAAGAGACAGGTTCTAGAGTTTCTAGGTGCAGTTGGATATTGCTGCCTCAGGACACCAGAGTTGTGGAAAGAGCAAGGCATCTATACACCAGCACAAAGGGGTATGCTGAGCCCCTAATCTAGGCTGAGGAGAAACGAAAGGCATTTGGGGCTTTAAAATGACTTTGACTTTGGCTTCAGCTATAGCACTTGTAGATTCTCAAAATCATCTGTTTGTTCATACATAAACAAAAAAGATATTATAAAAGGGTTTTAATCCAAACTTTGAAGCCATGGAAATGCCCCATGGCATACCTGTCTAAATGATTGGACTTTCTAAGCACACAAAAGTCCACCAGTCTAAAATCTGTGGTAGCTACTGCTAGTCTAATGACAAAAACTGCAGACAAGTTAACTCTGGGTTAAAATCTTATAGTCTACAGTACCCCATGATAAGGTTTAGGCCCTCCTCCAAGGAACACCAGAACACAGGCTGTCTAATGCCTGTGAGATCCAATACCAGGTTGAGACACCCACTTCATATGCTCTTGCATGATGACAACCCAACATGTTCATCTGTGACTGTCATGGATGAAAGATGAAACTAGTATGTGGGAGCTGTAACAGTTACTTTAACTGGAACAATCGGGGCCCAAGCCAGGTACTTCAGCCCAGAGAGAGAACTGACTGATCTGACCTAGGCTCTCAGATAGGGAACATTTATCTAATTATTCTTTATCAATAAAAACTCAGGAGCCATATATTGGGGCATGTAGGAGACCAGCTTTGATAAAAATACCATTTATCAGGGTAGGGGCATGGATATCAGAAAAGTCAGTAAAGAATACAAAGTTATGAGTAAAAATAACAAAACAGAATCAGGATAGTATCAGGAGGGAGTTTTAGTGACTACTGAAATCCTTTTGTGTTTAATTTTTTTTATACATTTTTATATCCCAGTAAAGCAGGGGAAGGAAGACAAAAGATAGCTTTACTATGATACAAAGGACAACTAGAACAGTTTTTGCTTCAATACTTTAAAACATTGAGTCATTTGCATTCTGTTGTTTAGGCAGTGAACCTACCCTAGACCAAGTGTCCTGAAGGCAGCCATTCCCAAGGTCAAAACTCCTATTTCAAAAGAAGAAGCAAAATTATGTTTGAATATTCTGACCACTGGTCAGGACGAGTGGTTCTACCTGTGTGGGCCATCTTAATGTCCAAAAGGACCAAGTAACCATACCCTAGGTCAGAGTGTGTAGGCAACAATTTAGAGCAACCTCAAGCTCTATGACCTTCAGACAAGGTGGAAATAGGCTCACATTGCTGGGTCTCTATAACTCCTCCCTTTTATTAATTTTAATAAAATTAGGACAATAGGACAGATGACTGTGTCTGTCTTAGGTGAACACTTCCCCATTTTTTAAACCTACCCGTCTTTGGGACATGCATTTTAATCACATATGTCCATGTCTAGGTGCCTGGGGGAAAAGGATCATACTCATCTCTGATTGCTGTCCTCTATAAGCAGAGGGTTAAGGGAGAAAGCATCTCTTGGCACCCTGCACCTTTGAGCCAACCTTTTGTCAAGAGTGTTTGCCAGTAACGAAATAATCATGTGCAAGCAGACAATGCTTTGTGATATACATGCCCCTATGGCTAGAGTGTCTCCTAATTAAAGGAGTGGAGGAGCAACACAGGTGGGAAAGACCTTGTGAATTTGTCTAGGGTGGTTTTTAAAAAAGTTTTTAGCTGTATCAAAATCTAAATTTGTCTTACCAAACATGTTAAAACCAAGAACTCATTGGAAATGTCAAACTTTTTAAGACATGTTTTAATCATTTTTTTAATCAATAGCATTTTATAGTAAACTAAAACTGGTATAAACATTAACAGGTCAATAACATAATTCTAGTGTAGATATTAATAATAAACGCACAATTTGCCAAATCATAATTTTCTTAAATCTATTTTAATTAAAAGACAAGGAAAGATTTTTATGATGGGTGAAAGTCCAATTGCAGTGTTGCTTTTAAGTAAATGTCCCTGTCTCTGAGCAGCAGCAGAAACCCTTAGGCTACCCTCCTCATATCTGAAGAGGGGTTTCAGTCACTCCTTTGTCTCCATAACAACTCCTTTTTCCCCAGAGGGGAAAACTGAGGTCTCAGTTCTCAGGTCTTTCATTTTAACAGTAGATTGAACATCCCCTGTAGACAATCCAAATTGTGTCCAAAAGTATTAAACAGTCAAATTTTAAGTCTGCATTTCTGGGCTGGCTCCAGGGTAAACAGGACTCACTAGGTCAGGAAGTTTTTCAGGAAGTCCATCAAGAAACTAAGAATCAGCAGTCACCACCACACTCTTCTTTCCATTCTCAGCCTGCAGCATGGTGGATGAGGAAGTCAGGAGCACAGGTTCTCACTCCAACCCTTCTGTGGTGGTGTTTAGCAGCTATGATGTCATCGGGTTGGCACCCTTCTGATGGACACATCGAACCAGACATTCTGGAAGTCATCTTGCTTGATTCTCATCCTGTGAAAAAACACAGACATGCCCTCGACCCCATATTAACACAGGATTGGGTCCTCTCCATAATCTAGTGCAAGGGTCTCTTTATTTTGTTTTAGCAAAAGTCTTGGTACCATCATTCCAAAATTTGTCCATGGCAGATTGCTCATGGACATCCACATTTAAGAAATTTAGAGCAAAAAGTACATGGCTCACGGCATTATGTGTCATTTGAGGAGACAGTTTTCTTGTTTTCACTTTTTGAAGTTGTGTTTTCAAGGAGCTGTGGGCACGCTCCACAATTCCTTGTCCTTGAGGATTATAAGGAATATCTGTCTTATGTTCAATATTTCATTGGGAACAAAATCGCCGAAATGTTTTACTAACATATCCAAACCCATTATCCATCTTTATGGTTTTGGGGGTTCTCATATATGAGAAACATTTTAAGCAATATGTTATTACATACTTAGTGACTTCTCTAGTTTGTGCAGTGGCTATCAAGAATCCTGAATGTGTATTGATTGTCACATGTACATATCTTAATTTGTCACACTCTGCAATATGAGCAACATTCATTTGCCATAAATGATTAGAAAGTAGTCCTTGGAGATTTACTCCCAGACAAGGTACAGGTAAATACTGTGGGTATATATCACATTGCTTAACAATTTGGCAAGCAGCTTTTCTTGTTAATTTAAATTGTTTTCTTAAAATTATACTATTTTGATGATGCAGAACATGTGATCACTGAGCAAACTCAACTTGAGATAAAGCGATTAGTTTTGTAAGCTTATCAACTACAGCATTACCTTCAGCTAGTGGACTGGGAAGATATGAATGCACTCTAATATACCCTAAAAAGCTTGGCAATTTTCTTCGTTGTATGGCATTTTGAATTTGCTGGAATAGCATTTTAACTTGTTTATTGCTATTCCTAATACATGGAATGGTTTCTAGGACTTTAAGGGTACTAAAAATATATTGACTGTCAGCACATAGATTAAATGTTTTGCCTTATCTGTAAAAAACTGAAGCACTATAGCAACAGCTCACAGTTCAACTCTTTGAGCTGAGGCTGGTTCTGTTTGTACCACATGTCCTTCACCATTAACCACATATGCAGCTCTTCCACTGGAGAAACCATCTGTAAAAATTAACATGGCATCCTTTAAGGGATCTTTGCTGAAACTTTTGGGAAATAAAAGAATATAGTTGTACAAACTGCAGCAATGAATCATCTGGGAAAATATTATTAATTTGGCCTTCATATTGATCAAACACAATTGTCCAAGAGTCATTATTTTGAAATAAACAGTCAATTTGTTGCTTAGTATAAGGAATGATGATCACAGCAGGTTCTCTGTCAAAGTACGTCTTAGATTCCACCCCGCTCTTCTGTGCCAAGCAAACTTCATAAAAGTGTAGTCATAAAAGCAGACCATTTTGCCACAATACTGCTGTGGGAGTAAGCTTTGTAGGTAATATACATGCTTGCCAAGGCTGATCATAATTAATATAATGTACTTGCTGTTTCTGTATAGCATGCTCTACCTGCATGAGTACCTGTCTGGCAGTTTCTGTAAGCTGTCTAGTGGAATCTGGATCACTGCTCCCTTTAAGAATTTCACTTAGTGGCTCAAGGTCTTCTGTAAAACATTTTAAAGAAGGTCCCGTCAAATAAACCTCGTGTGATTGCAGCAAGGACGGTCTCTTGTGAGTTACTTGGGGGGGCTGTCGTGTTATCCTGAGACTTGAGTGAGAGTTCTCCCCATACTGGGGTCTTTCACTCCCTTGTACAGCTGGCCACACTTCTGTATGTCTTAGAGTTCACCTGTTGCCCCATATTGGGCACCATTTGTTGGAGATCACTGTTGACAAAAATGCCATTTACCAGGGTAGAAGATCAGAAAAGTTAGTAAAGAATATGAAGATGTGAATGAAAATATTAAAACAGAAACAGAATAGTAATGGGAGGGAGCTCCAGCAAATACTGAAATTCCCTTGCATTTAATTTTTCGTACACTTTTATACCCCAATACAGCAGGGAAGAAGACAAAAGACTGTTTTAACATGATGCAAAGGACAATTAGAATAGTTGTTTGCTTCAAGACTTTGAAACATTAAGTCATTGCATTCTGTTGTTTAGGCAGTGAACCCACCCTAGACCAAGTAAATCCCGAAGGCAGTCACTCCCAAGGTCAAACGTTCCATTTCAAAAGAAGGAGCAGAAATATGTTTGAATATCCTGACCATTGGTTAGGGTGGAGTGGCTCCCTAATATGTATGGGCCATATTAATGTCAAAAAGGACCCCAAGTAACCACACTCTAGGTCAGGATGTGTTGCCAACAATTTTGAGCAACCTCAAACTCTCTGATCTTCAGACAAGGTGGAAATAGGCTCACATTTTTGGGCCTCCACAGGGGTAAGAACCTGAATGATTAGAAAAGCAACTGCAGACCTCCTCTCCTTCTCCTTCCTCAAACCCAAAAAGGTTGAGAATCTTTCTATGCCCCATCCTGTTACTTCTTGGGTCTCTTTCTATGTCCTCATCCCTCTAAAACTTCTGTGACAAATTTCTGTGAGTTACTAGCTAATTCTGCCTTCTGATTCAAAGTAAGCTTTATTATCAGTCTCAGGAGTGCCAGAGTGCAGTCAAAATATCCCACAACTATATACATGAGCAGTCACTCTGCTTTTACTACCAGCCTGTCCATGACTGATAGAGAAAGAGGTTTCTTAACACTGTGGGAAAGGAGATTGAAAACAAAGAAAAAATCTTGGCCCCTAGAGGCTATTTGACCTCTCTCACAGATTGCCATCCCTACTGTTGAGGAGCCAAAGAGATGACTCCTTCCGGATGCCGACCTGGCTGCCTGCAAATGGCCCAAGGGCCAGGCGGACTTTCTCATATTCTGATGGCACACCCTGACCCGGTGCTGTCTGAAACTCCATGGTACAACCCAAAGCGAATAGAGGATGAAAAAGTAAAAAAGGGCAGCTTGAGCCCACCGATTGATTGAGAACACCAGAGGGAAGGATTGTTGGGTCCGGGATCGCACAATGATGGGGGACAGGCCACCAAAGTCTGTGAAACCTGAAGCAAACTTTATTCCAGGAAAAAAAAAATCACCTCAGGGCACAAAAAAAGTTCATCAGCTAGCTAAGGCTACAGCTTGAGTTCCGGTTTCTGAAACCGAGGCACATGGGGGAGGATTTTGATCCCCTATGTATAGCAAGAAGTAAACATTAGACATGGACAAAGGAATTTTTACAATTTTGAGATAGTTTAGAGACAATTTGCATTTGAAGATTTACAGTTTTTGATAACAAGGTTTCAGCTAAAATGATGCTTACAGAGGCCTGGGGATCTCCTTCCTAGCTAATAATGTCTGTAAAGAATTTTACAACTTTTCTGGCACAAAGGATACAAAACAATAAAAAGCCAAAAGTTAAGTAGGAGCAACTCAAAAAGCCATTGTTAAAAGCCCTTGCTGTTGACAAAGCTGATGACTGTCAGTTCTCATTTCTTTTAGGCTTACAAATTTCTGTTTTTTATGTCTATTTATGGACCCTTCAAGATCATCCTTCCAGAAACAACTGGAAGGACTCTGGTAACTGACCTTCCGCAGAATACTCATCTGCGGTCCACGAGACTTTCTGAGTTGCTCATATCAAAGCATGTTATACCTAGACTGGATAACCGAGTGTGGGATGTCTCAGTGGCCCTTCCCCAGGAAGGGGGTCCTAATAAGAGAGTGTACTGGCTGGTCTTGTGTATTGAGTTGACACAAATGAGAGTCAGGAGAGGCAGGAGCCTCAGTCCAGGAAATGTCTCAAGGAGATCCAGCTGTCAGGCATTTTCCATTTAGTGATCAATGGGGGAGGGTACAGCGGGTGGTGCTGCCCCTGCTATCCCTGCGCTGTTGAACCTGGGTTCTACAAGAAGACGGGCTGCGTAAGCCAAGGGAAGCAGGCCCGCAAACAGCACTCCTCCATGGCCTCTGCATCAGCTCCCGCCTCCAGTACCCCACCCTGTCTGAGTTCCTGTCCTGACTTTCTTCAGTGATGAACAGCAATGCTGAACCAAATAAACCCTTTCCTCCCCAACTTGCCTTTTGGTCATGGTGTTTTGTTACAGAAATAGAAACCCTAACTAAGACAGAGGGGAACACTCTGACAAACTCTAGGAAAACTTTCTTCACCGAGATTTGGTCTGCTGGGGGAGGATAAAAGTACTTGCTAGTTTTTATAGATAACTTTCCAGGGCGGGTAGAAATGTTCTCACCTAGACCAACTGCTCAAATAGTAGCCGAAAAGATCTCTAGCAACTGATCCTCTGACTTGGCCTCCTTGAGCAATGAAGTCAGACCATCACCAAGCTTTCATAGCCCAAACTTTTCAGTTACTAGCTCAAGCCTCAGCCATAGATAGAAAACCTCATTGTTCATATAGACCTCAGAGTTCTGGCCAGGTACAAACGATAAACAGGACATTAAAAGAAACTAACAAAACTCCTTAGAATTCAGATGGATAGACCTCCTTCCTTCCTTTGCTTTGGGCCCGTTGTACCCCATATAGCGAGGGATTGACTCTACTATGAGATTATGTTTGGAGGACCTCCTTCAGTGCCTCCCAGGCTCAGAGACCAGCAGTTAGCAGAACTCTCTAACATTCCTTTCTCAAATGACTACAGGCCCTCCAGTTCTCCATACAGACTATTCATCAGACTGTCTGAGAGATCTAACTGACCTGAGTCCACTACCAATTTCCCCTTGTTCAACCCCAGTGACACCATCTGGGTTAGTCAGATAGCCAAGGGGGCACTGAAACAGCCTGTGGAGGACCCTACATAGTGTTCTCTCTACTCCTAAGGCCGTGAAGGTAGGTGGCATTCACCATGCATTCACCACACCCAAGTCAAGAGAACAGAAGCCAGATGCCAAATGGACTATGAACCCATTAAAATTAAGGTTTCATTGGGCCCCAGGCTCCTCCACTCCCTCCCCAATTACCTTTTCTTGAGTCTTATGATTGGTGTAACTACAGGGTTATGGTACAACCCCAAGAGTCCCCAGTCCTGGACCTAGGAACTAAGGAAGACTCATACAGGGAAGGTATCACCTAGCGTGATTACAGACCAGCAACCCATATTCATCTTGGCCTATGCTCACTGATACCCACTTTAAGTGTATGGCTGTAATGAAAAATATGGGGTTTATCTTTTGAGGTAGAAATATAGAGTTTACAATTTTATGCATACTCTGCAGCAAAGTTTCCTAGTTGCCAAGGACAAGGGAGTTTCCATTGTCAAAAACTGGGGTTATGAAGCAGAGGCTTCTTGGAAGATTCTGTAAGAAAGAGTCTGGCCTTTGGAAAACAGGGAAAACCTGGGGAATCAGACTCTATGCCACAGGAAGGTACCCTGGGGGTAAAGCTAACCATTCCTAGGTGGAAATAATTCAGGACTGCTGGCTATGCTTAGACTTTCACCCAAAACACTACGTAGGGATAGCATCCAACCAGACTCTCAGCCCACTGACTGACAAAACCCTCTGTGACTGGAGGGAGCCCAAATCAGCATTAGAGGACTTATAAGAGACTAAAACTTGCCTAATATCCCAAATCTTTAACTTCGGTACCTCCCTTTGTTCTGATGCCTGCTTTTTTGCCTTGTGGGTTTTGTTAACTCGTAGGGACAACAGCAATGTTACTGGGTCTCTGAGACTACCTAATGACCATATACTAATGGTTTGACTAAGTGTGCATCTTCTGATACTTTCCAAACTGAGAAACCCCTTTAATAAGTCTTGGTACATACTTTGCTCATATACCTATATAATGGGAAAGAAGGGAAAATACATTTTTATATGGATCCTGGACTACAAAGAAAAAAAAAAAGGACTATTTCTGTCTCTATCCCACTCTTAGTCAGAGCAGGAATAGCTGGCTCATTGATACACTTGCCTTTCTCATGGGAGATAAGAACTTTAAAAAACTAGGTAGATAGGTTTATTAGGACCTAGAGGTATTCAGTTTTTGTTTCTGAATTAAAACAGCAGTTAGATCCCCTTCAGAAATGGTTCTACAAAATCAGAGAGGTTTGAACTTATCGCTCATGAGATAAGGGGTATTATATATAGATTTGGGGAAAATCTGTTGTTTCTATACTAATCAATAAAGAGTCATTAAAAGCATCTTGCTATGGTTGGTAAAAAAAAAATCAAAAAGAGAGACACAAAGGACATTAATCTGATGATTGACACCAGTCTCTGCTCTCTGGGGCCCAACTCTTTACTGTGCTATGAGCACTGACTGGGCTGTTAATTCTTATTCTGACTGGGGTAATAGCAGAGGCCCTGCATCTTAACCTGTATGGCCAATTATGTAACAATTCAATAAAATTAATGGTCCTTAGGATCAACTACACCTTTTGAGAACAAGATGAGTCTATAATTTGATTCATTCGCTAAGACCAGTAGAGAATGTAATAGGGCCTTAGACCTTAGGAGGCCCTCAGCCCTTAGCACAACTAACTCCATGTGTCGTTTTGAACATAAAATCATCATGTGGACAGCACCACCAGCCAAAACAGAAGCAAAGACCTAATCTCTCAAAGTTCGTAGTTATAGGAAAGTCTCTAAATGTACTAACCCTGCTTT